ATAGAAAATATGAATGGAAAACACAATAGAGCTGCTTTGGAAAAAACTTTAGAAGCACAAGGTCACCGTGTTTTTGAGAATCATGTGGTGTCCGAATCACTTCAACCACATCTCGTTAAAAGCACCATGAAATATATTAAATGTACTATTGGATGCTTACTGAATAGCTACTTTTCAAATAACCTAGTGCCTAGATTGGAGTTAACCATTTTTTCCTCTTTGCATCAAACCAAAATTGTCACGATGTTGAGCTAGGTGTGGGGACTGAGGTTTGAGACTCACGTTTTTCTAAGGGAAAAGGAATTCAATTAGACAAATATATTTGAAGATGATGTTTGAGTAAAAAATCAGCATCTTGAGAATTCTTAAGAAACTGATTTTGAAAATTTTCTTCCTTCCTCCCTCCCTCCCTCCCTTCCTTCCTTCCTTCCTTTCTTCTTTTCTTTCTTTTATTTCTTTCCTTTTCTTTTTAGAGACAGGGACTTGAGTGTTGCCCAGGCTGGTGTGAAACTCCAGGCCTCAGGTGATCCTCCAGCTATAGCCTCCTGAGTCACTGGAATTGGAAGTGTGAGCCACTGTGCCCAGCTCTCAATCTTCTTTGGAAAAAAACAAAGACAGTTATTATTTTAAAGACATTATTGTTACATCACTGAAGCCTTGGAACTCTTGGATCCAGCTGCTACATGTTCTAAACTTTGTAGCAACTTATTGAAGAGAACATTATTATTAAAGGCATTTGCATGAAAATCTTAGAGATATTCTTGTATCTCCCTTCTCTGTCTCCAACTTCTTATGCAGTACCCAATGCTCTGTGATGTCTCAAACTTTTAATCACTACTTGGAAAAGAGAAGTTTAAAGCATTAAAGAAAAATAATCAGAGGAAAGAAGCATTTGATTTACAAAATTCTGAAACAATCACTTTAATGTTGCTTTTGACATGTATGCAAAGTCACTGATACTTCTCCCTTCCAGAGGTGCAGCTTAATTCCCTCCCTGTGAGTGTGGCCTGGACTTAATGCTTCACTTCTGACTGACAGAGCAACACTGATGTAATAGTTTGTGACTCTGGTGTAGGACATAAAACTCACTGTGGATTCCACCTTGGTTCTCCCTCTCTGGGATCACGAGCTCTGGGGAAGCCAGCTGCTGTGTCATATGTAGCCCCGTGCAAAGGTCCATGTGCAGGAACTGAGGCCTCCTGGGATCAGCCAACAAGCAGCTGAGGCCTCTTCCAGCAGCCACATGAGTGAGCCACGTTTCATGGAATCCCCAGCCCCAGTCCAGCCCTCAGATGACACTGCCCTGGCTGACAACTGGATTGCAACCCTGTGAGAGGCCCTGAGCCAGGAGGACTCAGGGAAAATTCTCCTGGATTTCTGGACATCAGAAACTGTGGGAAATGATAAATACTTCTTGTTTTGAGCTGCTAAGTTTTAGGTAATTTCATACACAGCAGTAGATAAGTAATAGAATTTGCAAAGAGAGAATGAATTATTGCACTTTAATTTTCATTTGCTCTACATTAATTATAAGATATTAAACATGTCATTTGGTTTTAGGAGCTAAGAAGAATTTCCATGGCTAAATAGGGTGTATTTTACTACCACTCACAACCATCTATTTACTTGAACTTCTATTTCCAACTGTGACCCAACTGAACACAAAAGGAAGATCCAGGCCATGCTAGGCTGATTCTGTGATGTCCCCCAATAACCACCTCCAGCTTATTCACCTTCCCCTAGTTATTCAATCACCACTAATGTAGGTGCTGCTGCGAAGGGATTTGCAGATATAACTGAGGTCCCAAATCAGTTGACTTTAGGACTTTAGGATTATCCTGGATTGGACCGTCCTAATACAAATGAGCTCTTAAATGACTGGTTCTTCCTGAGCATGAGATTCACAGTGTGAGAGGAACACATGTGAGGAAATTTCTTCACTGTGGGCTTTGAAAGTGGAGAGGCCACGTGGCGGGGAATGCTGGGGCCACCAGGAATCAGGAACAGCCCCCCCACCCCCGCCCTAACAGCCAGCAATGAAACAAGGACCTCAGCCCTACAACAGCCAGAAACTGAACTCTGCCCACAGGCTCCATATAAGCTTGGGGAGGACCCAATCTCAAGATGAAGACACAGGTTTGTGAAACCCTGAACAGAGAACCCATCCACACCATGCCTGACAAGTACATAACATTTTTTCCACTGGAATGAATTTATGAACCGATATGTAATAGTTGCATGAAATAAAATTTTTCCTAACTTTTTTAGTATTTTTCCATTTATGATTTTTATGTGAGTAGATTAAATTTTAAGACAATGAGATTTCATTTATTCATTCAACAAAAATTAATTTAATGCCTACTTTGTACCAGGTTCGTCTTTACATACTGGGGATACAGCTTCAACCCAAACAGCCCAAAGCCCCTGTGCCCATGTGCCTTACATTCCAGAGGCTTTGCAAGAGTGAAACCAACCCATGGGAGCATTTTAAGTGAAAAAATGACAGGACCTGACTCACATTAGCAGGACTGCTGACCACTGTGGGGAGGACATTGTGGGCAGCAGGTGAGGGGACAGTGCTAGTGCCACAGGTCAGGAGTGAGAGGCAGTAGGACTAAGGGGAGAAGTGGCCTGAGGGATGAGAGGGATAGAGGGAAGGACTGGAGAAGCAGGAGCTGAGGAACAGGAGTAGAGGGAAAGAGTTCTAAAGCAGCGGAATTGTCAGATTTAAACACGGTGTTTTATAGATTTTAATACACATGTCTACAGAGCCTAGCTGGGTATTCTTTGTATTTAGTAATTTTTCTTTTTCTCTTTTAATTTAAAAAAGTGTAGAACTTGCTGTCAATGCTGCTTTGTTTTCACACTTGAGCTTGATGGCAGCTTCTTCACCAGGCAAATGTCTCCAAAGGACCCGCTCCCGATCCTTGGTCCCAGGCGCTACTTACTCCCCATGCGTAGCTCCATGATTGGCTCTTGCTGTTCCAGCAGCCTCTATCTCATAATTAATACATTTGTGAGGCTGCCTAAACGCTAATTGGCTCCTAATGTTAATCAGGGTAAAAATACCAAGTGTCCCCCCAAAATACGCACACAGCTTAGATGTGAATGATTCATGAAAACAGGCAAGGCGCGAGCACTGGTGAGGGGCATTCTGACTGAGCACGTGCAGCTTTGAAGTGATTAAAGTCCTACAACTCCTGGCTGAAATAGACAGTAACAGATTGTGCTCCTTTATATGAGGGGATGTCCTCGACTCTCGCACACAGACTCAGGGCTGTAGAACAAAGACAATTTTAAAATACAACAACTCAGAGTCCAAGACACATCGTCTGGGAGAGTAAAACTTGGGAGCGTTGTGAGTCTAACTGTAACGTGTTTAGACACATTTATATATGGAGGGGCCAAACTCACTTCTTTTACACTTTAGATTCCTGATCATTCCATATAATTTTCATTATCGTGTACTTTTAAAAAAGGAGAGGCTATTAATTAATTATGAAATTTAGGTCAGCATTCTACATCCATGATTTTTGTAGCTATTTCTATTTTGTGAGATTTTAACTTGTTTCTGAAGAAAAATTTGATTGGATTATAATGGGAGCAACTTGCTTATGTTTCTTTGAATACTTTGTGCCCTAACAATATTAACAGGCATTCTTTCCATGATTTTTGTAGCTATTTCTATTTTGTGAGATTTTAACTT